TCTCGAAATGCAATATCTTTTTTATTTCGCTGTCGATAGCCCAACACGTGTTCCGCAGCCATCTTGTATTTTCTTGCGTGCACGGGATTGTGGGATCTCTCTTATGACTGGATCTCGTTTTGAGAACTCTCGAGTCGATCGCAATTGAACCTCGTTTAGTAGTGTTACAGAGTATAATACATATATATTTTTATTATAATATTTAAATATTTAATATATTTTTTAAAAGAAACAAAACCACTGAGAAATGTTACGTGTGTTTAACAAGTTTCAGAAAACTTTGAAAATGTTAACAATGGGTTCGGCTGAACCTGTGTGAACCTGCTGAATATTACCATTGATTATTTGATTATTATTGTCAGAATGTGAACAGCATATTATACCTTAGAAAAATCATTGTAAAGTAGCTGCTTTTTAAACATGTTTAGAACAAATTACTGTTATTTTTTGCTATGTTAATGTAATGTTACATTTTAATAAGATTTATTTATGTATTCAATTATATTGTTTAAACTCATTGTTTATAGGATCGACTTTTAGCAGAAATGCTAATAAAAAACAGAGACTGGATTGTAAATTATCATGAGCACGATTCTTTGTTGCAAAATATATCAGAAGAAGGCCTTACTGAAGAAGAAAGACAAGCTGCTTGGGTGGAATATGAAGCTGAAAAAGAAGGAATTGTTCAAAATAGAGCTGAAAAAGAAGGAATTGTTCAAAATAGTAATACAGGTAACCCCCGTATAATATGGCACTTCTATAGCACGGATTCACTCTAACACAGTACTTTTATAGTCCGGATTCACTCTGATACAGTTCGAGAAATGGGTAAAACCCTTGTACAACATGAAATGTAATAAATTTTTACATACTTAAGTACTAATAGTTCACGAAAATTATTATTTTCATGAACTATTAGTACTTAAGTATGTAAATTTTCTTTTCTCGCCTCCATACATATGGTCCTTTGTGAAAATTGTTTTATTTTTGCCAGATCTTGACGCTTCTGGTGTTGCCAGATGTTTTTCCCTTATTCCATAAGTGCTTAGCATCATATAAGGAAATTTATAAAGATCTTTTAACTAGAAGCAAGCAATCTAAAATACTTTTTGCAAAAGGTAAAGCATGAATCTGAAAATAATGCAGAAAAATGCTAGAGGATAACGATAACTTGCCAAAAATAAAACTCTCTTGGTTAATAGGGCGTTTAATGATGACAAAGAAAACATTGTTTAATTTATATTAATATCTGTCACTTAAGAAAATTTTAATAAAGATATTTATCTTAATTATGAAAATATAGTAGCATGTTTTTTAATTTTTGGAACCTAACCCTCCTTTTCGTACTAGTTCTTTGTTTTGCATAACATGGCAATTTTTTGGAACGTAACTACTGTGTTATACCTGTACTGGTAAATATTTTTACTTCTTCTAATATTTGAGTATATAAGATGTTTCACAATGTATATTGATATCAATAATTCAGTTAATTTTGATATTATAATATATTAACTTATGATTTTATCTGTTTTAGTTTAGTTGAGCTTTTGAAGTGTCAAATAAAAATAAAATGAAAGACTGTGGATATGAAAATTAATATTTTAAAATTGTTTTTTCTTAAAATATCATTTTATGTAGTTAAAGATAACAAATATCATTTTAGTTTATTTTCATTACTTTTAAGAAAAATACTTTACTGGATAAACTTACATAAAATTTATTATTACTACTGATTGATATTTTATTTAATTTTGATTATCACACTTCAAATTTTATATCTGAATAATTTCAGTTATAAACTATTTTTAAAAGTTATTGCTGAATAGAAATTTGCTGAATCAATATATAAATTTAAAACAAGTTCCTGAGATGTATAACAGGTTCTTTTTATTTTATGTTTTGATGTTTTGTATCATTTCAATGTTTCTTGTAGAAAATTTTATTTTCTTATTAGTTTCCAGATCTTCAATGTACTGTTCAATCATTTTTAATATTGTGAGATATTTTCTGTTGGGATGCAAATCCAACAGAGAATAATTTTGTTTTTGTGGTTTTTCTTGATTTTTCAGCCAAAAGGTGTTTGAAGTACATGGCTAGTGAGATGTGTTGTGTAGGTCTAGAACAAGGGTCGTTGACCCCCTACAAGTTTTCAAAACCTCACATCGACCCCCACCAAAAAGTTTGTGTTACAAACAAAACAAAGTACTTACTATTTTAATACGTTTCTTTTAATTTTGCATTTTTTTTCATTTATTGTATATTTGTTAATAATAATTTTCGTAACTGACAATCAGTGAGACGGATAAGCTTGATGCTTAGCCCCCCCTTATTCTTAGCTTAAGCTTGATAATCGACCCCCCCAAAAATGTTTCATCAATCACTTTGGCAACCTCTGGTCTAGAGGAAGAATGACTCATCTAAACTATACATATTAAAATAAACAACTAATTTTCAAATATTTCTGATTACAGGAAATATTAATAAACAGTAAATGTTTGTGGTAATTAGAGTGTCAGTCTTGCAGGAGAAATACTTCAGTGACATTATCTAGATCTCTGTTTCTCAATTTTCTTAAACATGAATGTACAGTCGACCTCACCATAACACTGTTGATAATTCTGTTTTATATGAATTCCATGTTGTACGAGTCACTTAGATTTTACAAATACGTGAGTTGTTCACAGCCCGGCACACATATTTGTAAGATCTAAGTGACTCGTACAACATGGAATTCATATAAAACTGAATAATCAACAGTGTTATGGGGGGGGTCGATTGTAATTCATAGTGTCCATTTTACTGATTTTCTCTGGAAGCCTATGCAAACTAAGAACACAGTTGTAACTTCCCATGTGAAGTGGCTGATCTGAGTTCATGTCAAATCTTTTCTTCACTGAACCGTTTTTGATTTGCTGATTTGGTGATCCATGTTCTTTTGTCAGCATAAAAATGGACTTTTTACACCTTTAAAACAGCAAGGATGCAGGTTTTTGCCTTCCACAACAAATTTACAAGTGCCTGCTGCATTAGCACATTCCAGCACAATCAATTCCTGTAGGAGCTCTCTAATCAGCTGTAGCAAATGTTTTTCTGAAACAATAAGGCCAGAACAGCAATGCCTCATCAACATTATGGATTTGTTCTGCTGTTAGATTTTCATCAGTGATGATCTGGACAAACTCATTGATGAATTTCTCTGCTGCTTCCTATCAGCAGATGCTTTGTTACCCAAAGCTTTAAAAATTTAATGACATGCCTTTTTAAAATTTTTGTAATCAGCCTGCTGAATGTTTATAGTTATTTCGATATTCAATTTATAATGATAGATTTTTGCTTGTATTACGATCAACATTCCGTCAAGTGGCACATGTTTACTCCAAAACTGACAAATCCACTCCATCAATACATGAACAAGATCATCATTTTTTGCTCAATGCAATCTTCTTCTATTTTTCATTAACTTACATTCACCACTTTCTTCATAGAACCTCAACGGTTTGTCCTTCTGTTTCTTCAGGTTATATAGTGGTTGTTCCAACACCAAACTCTTGTTATACACTTCACACTTACATTGCTGTCAAGTTTTTGCAGTGACTTGACTTGACTTTCTGACTGTTATAGATAAACTTAAATGCTTAATTTTTTTCTTTTTACCATTATTCACAAGGTTATTTGCAGGCCTCTGACATTTTCAACAATATCTTTATAGAGCACAAAGTATTTGGTAATTAATGCACACAAACACAGCACAGAAATGTTGCTATGAGTGCCGTTGACAAAAACTTGCACCAAATTAACTGGGCTGGGTAAACACATCCACCCAGGTTAGGTGTGTTTAAGTAGTATGTGGCACAACTGCTGCACTTCACCTGGGAACATTTCTGGTGATGTCACTCAAAGAACTTTTGTGTTTTGGAATTTCAGATAAAAGATTCTCAACTTGTATTGTAAATCATAATAGTCAAATATCAGATACATTAATATAATTTGAAGAAAAAAAATTTTTTTTTATCTTGCTCTTCATTACTTCTAATTTGAAAATTTATTCAGCTAGTTGGAATGTTCTTGATCCAATTATTCAACATCAACCTGTGCCAACTCCATATCAGAATCCAGAAACATATGGACCATTACCTGATGCTCGTATGGATATTGCTAAAGTGGTGGAAAACTTAAAGTTAAGAGTAAGTATTAATGGAAATATATATATATATATATGGGCTTATTACACCAGTGAATGAGATTAATTAACAAATTCTTTAATGATTAATTATTAACACCTTAATAATAAAAATTTACAATAAACTGTGGCTCCTTTAACATGTATGGTACATAATATAGAACACTCAAAATGCATTTTGGACAAATGAAACTGAAATATTGTATTCATCATGGATAATTGGCTTTATTTTTATTTATTTAATTTATTATTAATTCACTTAATTATAAAAATGAAATTAGAATGATGATGAACCAAGCACAAAATTCCACATCAAGCAGTTTCACATAAATTTAGTTTTGTTTTTGCCTTCAGGATGGTAATGGTATAAATCTGAGTTGTAATTAAACATGAATAAACTTACAAATTTTTGATATATAGATTAAATTTACTGCCCATTATAGTAATACATTTAACATTTAATTGTTATATCCTGAATATGACTGATTGCTTAAACTTATAACTAGTATATTAAAAAAATTATTTTCAAGTACAGATTATTGTAAGTTAGAGATTGACTGTATTCATTTGTAATTTAGATACATTGTTTATAATAATTAATTTAATGTTGTAAATTATTTCTTTATTTTTAGAAACCTAATATGACTACAAGTGAGATGAATACTGCTATATTAGATGCTCTAGTGATGCTTAGATCTCATTACCAACAATGTAGTGTAATTGCTATTCGTCAAAAACAAAATGTGAGTTTTTTCATGTTAAGTGGTTTAACTTTATGATAAAATTAATTTTGAAGGCTGATTTGAAAAATTTATTTTTTTTTATTATTATATTAACATAAATTCAACATTCTTTATGCTTTTGTATTTAAATATTAAATATAAAAACTTAAGACTCTTTANTACTGTGCAGATGCGTTGCCAGTTACGCTATCCGGACCTCCGTTCTGATCCCCTCTTCCAGTGTATAACTATGTTGTAATAAGAGATGGCGCCTAACGCTTACCTCTAGTGCCAAATTAATTACGTAATTTATTTAGAATTTAGCATTAAAAATAGCCCGATTAATTTACGGCATTAGGTTGGTTGCTTAAAGATTAAAAACATGAATGGGCCTCAAGGTATCCTCTTAGAGGAAGAAATTAAGGCAGAAGATGTGCTGTGTTGTATAAAAAAGTTAAAGGAGAAATCTGCACCAGGGTCCGACTCAATTCCAAATTTTATAATTAAAAACCTTCCAAAAGAAATGGTTAGCTTTTTATCTAGACAGTATGATGGGTTTTATAAGCAAGGAATTGGAATGAGGTAATATTTGTCATGTTATATAAACGTGGTGAAAGGTCAAGACCAACCAATTATCGTCCGATTGCGTTGCTATCGGGTCTACGTAAAGTGTTTACAGCAGTGTTGTCACTAAAGTTTAATAAATGGCTAATGAAAAGAATTACAGGAATGAAACCCAATATTCATTCACTAAAAATGGTGGAGCCCAATTAGCTCTATTCACATTAATCGCAATAGTTCAGTTACAGTTAATTAAAAAAAAGGCAAAAGGTTTTTGCATTGTTTCTAGACTTGGAAAAGGCTTATGATTCTGTAAGTATTGCAGACTTACAAAAGAAATTAAAATTTTATCAAGCAGATGAATGTTTAACGAATATAGTAGGAGTGTTATTTGGTCAATATAAAATTACAATTAAACAAGATCATGCACAGTGGGCTCCAATTGATATATACAGGGGTTTATTGCAAGGAGATCCTTGGTCACCTCACCTTTTTAACTTTTATACATTTGATATAAATAATTGTTTTGCAAATGATGATGATGGGTTCCTAGTAGATAATCAAGTGATACATTCGATATCTTTTGCGGATGATATAGTGATTATTGCTCCAACGGCTGCGGCTTTAAGAAGGAAGATTATATTGGTGAAAAACTATTTTGATGAACTGAAACTGAAAATAAATCCAAAAAAAATCTGAAGTTATGATATTTAGGAATGGTGCTAATTTACCGAAGAAACACATGCGTTTTTCATTGATAAAGAGGAATTGAGAATAGTTCAAGAAACAAAATTCTTGGGTATCATATTGACACCAAAATTAGCCTTTGAGAAACAATATAAGAAGACAGCCAATGATGCAAATAGGTTATTGAATAATTTGGTAAGATTATTTTCTAAGGCAAAAATAAAAAATATACAAATACACTTTCGGTTGTTTAACTCCATTATTATGAATTCAATTGGCTACAGTGTTCCAATTTGGAGTCTTGGTTACTGGCAAAAAGTGGAGATAATCCAAAACAAGTTTATACGCAGAATTTTCTTTTTGGAATATAATATACCTGGTAGTGCAATCAGATTAGAATTGAGTAGATATAAATTGTGTATATCATTAATGAAGAGATATATGAAATTTTTATTTAAATTAAGAGATTCTGGGAATTTATCAACGATACTGTTATACCAATTATACCAGAAATCACTGGTGAAAAAGGATGACAGGAATTGGGTGTTCCAATTATCAAAAATACTGAATCAGTTGGGTTATTCTATAAATATATTCTTAGATCGACCAGAGTTAAGTGATCAGCATTATCACCAATTGTTACAAAATGTTTTAGAAATTACTTTGTCTCAGGACATTGATGATTTACATAACTGGAAGAGACCAGATTGGTATAAAATAATTCTGGAGTATCCATTCAATAACAATTATATGTTAACAAATTTGGCGTTTAACGTTAAAAGATTTTTTGCACAACTTAGACTAAATAAAGAACTGTTACTAATTAATAATAAAATTATTGATTTTACTGGGACTGTGTGTCCAAGATGTCAAGAAATAAATTCAAAATTTCACCTGTTTTGTGATTGTAAAGATGGTAAGAAATTAGCACAGAAGCTAGAGTTACAATGTTTACTTAAATGTAACAATGAAAAGGCAATGTATGAAGTATTTAATAGAGCATCAATAGATATAATTTATAGACTATATAACTATGCACAGAAATTTATGTTGGTATAGATTTGAAATAATAATAATTTTAGTGTAAATGAATTATATATGTATTTTTGGTACAAGTTATACTAATTAGGAACATTATCTAGGTATAAGATGATGAAATTTTGGGTTATCTGATTGATGTTGAATGAGAAATTAATGGTGATAAGAAAAGTTGATGTAAAAAAAAACATCCCTTGTAACAGGCTAATGGCCTTATTACTAATAAATTTTTTTGATTGATTGATTGATAGTTTCAGTATAATAAATTGTTATTTTTATTTGTAAAAAAAATGGTAGACTCCTTTACTCGATCACACCCTTCACCTTATCGTCGACCCCAAGCAACTCTCCCTTCTCTCGCCTGACGTATCATCCTGACTAGTGACAGAGGCGGACGAGGTCGGACCTCCCCTCTGGATCACATTACTGATGATAAAACTGACATAACTACGTGGTAAGTCACGAACACTAACAAACAAAATGGAAGTTTTGGTTAGAAATAAATACAATACTTTTTCTTGCGATATATCTAATAATAGATAGATATCGTCGTCTCTCGAAATGCAATATCTTTTTTATTTCGCTGTCGATAGCCCAACACGTGTTCCGCAGCCATCTTGTATTTTCTTGCGTGCACGGGATTGTGGGATCTCTCTTATGACTGGATCTCGTTTTGAGAACTCTCGAGTCGATCGCNGAATACAGATTATTGTAAGTTAGAGATTGATTATATTCAATTTCTAATTAGAACAATATGACAATTCTCATCATACATAATTTGTATTCATTTGTAATTTAGATACATTGTTTATAGTTATTTTTTAAAAGTTGTTTGTAATAATTCATTTAATTTTGTAAATTATTTCGTTATTTTTAGAGACCTAATATGGCTCCAAACGAAATGAATTCTGCTTTACTAAGTGCTCTAGTGATGCTTAGAGCTCATTACCAACAATGTCATGTAATTGCTGTTCGTCAAAAACAAGATGTAAGTTTTTTCATGTTAATTGGTTTAACTTGATGATGAAGGCTGATTTGAAAATTTATTTTCATTTTATTATTATATTAACATAAATTTAACATTCATTAATTTTTTGTATTTAAATATTAAATATAAAAACTTAAGACTTTTTAAATTAATGTAATAGTTTGAATTTGAATGCCTAATGAAGATATGGAAATAGCAGGAAAAGGAAATTATGAAAAAGTTGAAAGTAAAACTACAATTAATAAGCAAGATACAGAAACTTTAGCCAGTAGCTTGGAAATATTTAGTTATTTGGATTATTACAATGGAAATGTTGTGAAATGTAGACAAAAATAATACAAATTAATTAAATTAACTGAATTAATCTGTATATTACTTTTTTAATTTTAGTTTAAATACAATTTGTTGAGTTCTTTTTTTACTTTAATAATATTACCAAGACCATTGAAAAAAAAATTTGTCACAGAATGGGGTAGTCCATTTATTACTTGTAAATTTTAAGTAAAAGGAGTCATAAAAAGTACATTATGTACCTGATGAGGAGGAAGAGAGTTGACCCATTGTCTACGTGGACTTTTTTAATGGTATTAGTGGTGTATGAATTTGGTCTTATAAGCCTATTTAGTAGTCTTTTGAATAAACTATCAGAAAATATTTGCAGAACTTTTTAAATCATTTTGTCAATGTTGGGTGGTCTATGAACTAATATGGTACCTATTATATGTAATTAAAGGGGGGGATGAGATTTGCTGAAAGTACATTTGTACACAACAGGGAGAGAAAGAGTCAGAGATGGTTCAAAAAAAAACCCTATACATAATTAATAGATGGCTCCAAGCTAAAACTTTAATGCATTAAAATAATTATTTCTCTCAGAAATTGTGTTATAAATAAGTGTAATTAATGGTCAGATTAGCTTTTGATCAATTGAAGAATCATACAACTATAGAGCTATTATTTTCTTTGAAATGTTTCTTTAGATTAAGAAAATTGTTATAAGAAGAATTAAGTAATTAGAAGTAATTTAAAAATTATTATGAAACAAAAAGCAAGTTTTTTAAAATTAAACTAGTCAAGATCTTTGATCTGGAATTCATAATCATCATATGGTAAAAATCGTGGTATTCTTGCATGTAGAGAAAACAATTTCTGCACACATTAATTAACTTATTTATTTATATAAATATCAACAACTCATAGCCCGAGTAGTAAATACATCACCAAACGATCGCCTAAATATCGGGCTATAATATGGCTAATTAAATGATTGGAATAAAGTAATTTGACACTAGAGGTAGACATTAGGCGCCATCTCTTAATTAAATTAATAATTACAATTAAATATAAATAAATCAATAAATAAATAAATTTAGAATCTTCTGGAATAAAAGAACTGGCCCGGGGCNCGTCGACCCCAAGCAACTCTCCCTTCTCTCGCCTGACGTATCATCCTGACTAGTGACAGAGGCGGACGAGGTCGGACCTCCCCTCTGGATCACATTACTGATGATAAAACTGACATAACTACGTGGTAAGTCACGAACACTAACAAACAAAATGGAAGTTTTGGTTAGAAATAAATACAATACTTTTTCTTGCGATATATCTAATAATAGATAGATATCGTCGTCTCTCGAAATGCAATATCTTTTTTATTTCGCTGTCGATAGCCCAACACGTGTTCCGCAGCCATCTTGTATTTTCTTGCGTGCACGGGATTGTGGGATCTCTCTTATGACTGGATCTCGTTTTGAGAACTCTCGAGTCGATCGCAATTGAACCTCGTTTAGTAGTGTTACAGAGTATAATACATATATATTTTTATTATAATATTTAAATATTTAATATATTTTTTAAAAGAAACAAAACCACTGAGAAATGTTACGTGTGTTTAACAAGTTTCAGAAAACTTTGAAAATGTTAACAATGGGTTCGGCTGAACCTGTGTGAACCTGCTGAATATTACCATTGATTATTTGATTATTATTGTCAGAATGTGAACAGCATATTATACCTTAGAAAAATCATTGTAAAGTAGCTGCTTTTTAAACATGTTTAGAACAAATTACTGTTATTTTTTGCTATGTTAATGTAATGTTACATTTTAATAAGATTTATTTATGTATTCAATTATATTGTTTAAACTCATTGTTTATAGGATCGACTTTTAGCAGAAATGCTAATAAAAAACAGAGACTGGATTGTAAATTATCATGAGCACGATTCTTTGTTGCAAAATATATCAGAAGAAGGCCTTACTGAAGAAGAAAGACAAGCTGCTTGGGTGGAATATGAAGCTGAAAAAGAAGGAATTGTTCAAAATAGAGCTGAAAAAGAAGGAATTGTTCAAAATAGTAATACAGGTAACCCCCGTATAATATGGCACTTCTATAGCACGGATTCACTCTAACACAGTACTTTTATAGTCCGGATTCACTCTGATACAGTTCGAGAAATGGGTAAAACCCTTGTACAACATGAAATGTAATAAATTTTTACATACTTAAGTACTAATAGTTCACGAAAATTATTATTTTCATGAACTATTAGTACTTAAGTATGTAAATTTTCTTTTCTCGCCTCCATACATATGGTCCTTTGTGAAAATTGTTTTATTTTTGCCAGATCTTGACGCTTCTGGTGTTGCCAGATGTTTTTCCCTTATTCCATAAGTGCTTAGCATCATATAAGGAAATTTATAAAGATCTTTTAACTAGAAGCAAGCAATCTAAAATACTTTTTGCAAAAGGTAAAGCATGAATCTGAAAATAATGCAGAAAAATGCTAGAGGATAACGATAACTTGCCAAAAATAAAACTCTCTTGGTTAATAGGGCGTTTAATGATGACAAAGAAAACATTGTTTAATTTATATTAATATCTGTCACTTAAGAAAATTTTAATAAAGATATTTATCTTAATTATGAAAATATAGTAGCATGTTTTTTAATTTTTGGAACCTAACCCTCCTTTTCGTACTAGTTCTTTGTTTTGCATAACATGGCAATTTTTTGGAACGTAACTACTGTGTTATACCTGTACTGGTAAATATTTTTACTTCTTCTAATATTTGAGTATATAAGATGTTTCACAATGTATATTGATATCAATAATTCAGTTAATTTTGATATTATAATATATTAACTTATGATTTTATCTGTTTTAGTTTAGTTGAGCTTTTGAAGTGTCAAATAAAAATAAAATGAAAGACTGTGGATATGAAAATTAATATTTTAAAATTGTTTTTTCTTAAAATATCATTTTATGTAGTTAAAGATAACAAATATCATTTTAGTTTATTTTCATTACTTTTAAGAAAAATACTTTACTGGATAAACTTACATAAAATTTATTATTACTACTGATTGATATTTTATTTAATTTTGATTATCACACTTCAAATTTTATATCTGAATAATTTCAGTTATAAACTATTTTTAAAAGTTATTGCTGAATAGAAATTTGCTGAATCAATATATAAATTTAAAACAAGTTCCTGAGATGTATAACAGGTTCTTTTTATTTTATGTTTTGATGTTTTGTATCATTTCAATGTTTCTTGTAGAAAATTTTATTTTCTTATTAGTTTCCAGATCTTCAATGTACTGTTCAATCATTTTTAATATTGTGAGATATTTTCTGTTGGGATGCAAATCCAACAGAGAATAATTTTGTTTTTGTGGTTTTTCTTGATTTTTCAGCCAAAAGGTGTTTGAAGTACATGGCTAGTGAGATGTGTTGTGTAGGTCTAGAACAAGGGTCGTTGACCCCCTACAAGTTTTCAAAACCTCACATCGACCCCCACCAAAAAGTTTGTGTTACAAACAAAACAAAGTACTTACTATTTTAATACGTTTCTTTTAATTTTGCATTTTTTTTCATTTATTGTATATTTGTTAATAATAATTTTCGTAACTGACAATCAGTGAGACGGATAAGCTTGATGCTTAGCCCCCCCTTATTCTTAGCTTAAGCTTGATAATCGACCCCCCCAAAAATGTTTCATCAATCACTTTGGCAACCTCTGGTCTAGAGGAAGAATGACTCATCTAAACTATACATATTAAAATAAACAACTAATTTTCAAATATTTCTGATTACAGGAAATATTAATAAACAGTAAATGTTTGTGGTAATTAGAGTGTCAGTCTTGCAGGAGAAATACTTCAGTGACATTATCTAGATCTCTGTTTCTCAATTTTCTTAAACATGAATGTACAGTCGACCTCACCATAACACTGTTGATAATTCTGTTTTATATGAATTCCATGTTGTACGAGTCACTTAGATTTTACAAATACGTGAGTTGTTCACAGCCCGGCACACATATTTGTAAGATCTAAGTGACTCGTACAACATGGAATTCATATAAAACTGAATAATCAACAGTGTTATGGGGGGGGTCGATTGTAATTCATAGTGTCCATTTTACTGATTTTCTCTGGAAGCCTATGCAAACTAAGAACACAGTTGTAACTTCCCATGTGAAGTGGCTGATCTGAGTTCATGTCAAATCTTTTCTTCACTGAACCGTTTTTGATTTGCTGATTTGGTGATCCATGTTCTTTTGTCAGCATAAAAATGGACTTTTTACACCTTTAAAACAGCAAGGATGTAGGTTTTTGCCTTCCACAACAAATTTACAAGTGCCTGCTGCATTAGCACATTCCAGCACAATCGATTCCTGTAGGAGCTCTCTAATCAGCTGTAGCAAATGTTTTTCTGAAACAATAAGGCCAGAACAGCAACGCCTCATCAACATTATGGATTTGTTCTGCTGTTAGATTTTCATCAGTGATGATCTGGACAAACTCATTGATGAATTTCTCTGCTGCTTCCTACTCAGCAGATGCTTTGTTACCCAAAGCTTTAAAAATTTAATGACATGCCTTTTTAAAATTTTTGTAATCAGCCTGCTGAATGTTTATAGTTATTTCGATATTCAATTTATAATGATAGATTTTTGCTTGTATTACGATCAACATTCCGTCAAGTGGCACATGTTTACTCCAAAACTGACAAATCCACTCCATCAATACATGAACAAGATCATCATTTTTTGCTCAATGCAATCTTCTTCTATTTTTCATTAACTTACATTCACCACTTTCTTCATAGAACCTCAACGGTTTGTCCTTCTGTTTCTTCAGGTTATATAGTGGTTGTTCCAACACCAAACTCTTGTTATACACTTCACACTTACATTGCTGTCAAGTTTTTGCAGTGACTTGACTTGACTTTCTGACTGTTATAGATAAACTTAAATGCTTAATTTTTTTCTTTTTACCATTATTCACAAGGTTATTTGCAGGCCTCTGACATTTTCAACAATATCTTTATAGAGCACAAAGTATTTGGTAATTAATGCACACAAACACAGCACAGAAATGTTGCTATGAGTGCTGTTGACAAAAACTTGCACCAAATTAACTGGGCTGGGTAAACACATCCACCCAGGTTAGGTGTGTTTAAGTAGTATGTGGCACAACTGCTGCACTTCACCTGGGAACATTTCTGGTGATGTCACTCAAAGAACTTTTGTGTTTTGGAATTTCAGATAAAAGATTCTCAACTTGTATTGTAAATCATAATAGTCAAATATCAGATACATTAATATAAATTTGAAGAAAAAAAAAAATTTTTTTATCTTGCTCTTCATTACTTCTAATTTGAAAATTTATTCAGCTAGTTGGAATGTTCTTGATCCAATTATTCAACATCAACCTGTGCCAACTCCATATCAGAATCCAGAAACATATGGACCATTACCTGATGCTCGTATGGATATTGCTAAAGTGGTGGAAAACTTAAAGTTAAGAGTAAGTATTAATGGAAATATATATATATATATATGGGCTTATTACACCAGTGAATGAGATTAATTAACAAATTCTTTAATGATTAATTATTAACACCTTAATAATAAAAATTTACAATAAACTGTGGCTCCTTTAACATGTATGGTACATAATATAGAACACTCAAAATGCATTTTGGACAAATGAAACTGAAATATTGTATTCATCATGGATAATTGGCTTTATTTTTATTTATTTAATTTATTATTAATTCACTTAATTATAAAAATGAAATTAGAATGATGATGAACCAAGCACAAAATTCCACATCAAGCAGTTTCACATAAATTTAGTTTTGTTTTTGCCTTCAGGATGGTAATGGTATAAATCTGAGTTGTAATTAAACATGAATAAACTTACAAATTTTTGATATATAGATTAAATTTACTGCCCATTATAGTAATACATTTAACATTTAATTGTTATATCCTGAATATGACTGATTGCTTAAACTTATAACTAGTATATTAAAAAAATTATTTTCAAGTACAGATTATTGTAAGTTAGAGATTGACTGTATTCATTTGTAATTTAGATACATTGTTTATAATAATTAATTTAATGTTGTAAATTATTTCTTTATTTTTAGAAACCTAATATGACTACAAGTGAGATGAATACTGCTATATTAGATGCTCTAGTGATGCTTAGATCTCATTACCAACAATGTAGTGTAATTGCTATTCGTCAAAAACAAAATGTGAGTTTTTTCATGTTAAGTGGTTTAACTTTATGATAAAATTAATTTTGAAGGCTGATTTGAAAAATTTATTTTTTTTTATTATTATATTAACATAAATTCAACATTCTTTATGCTTTTGTATTTAAATATTAAATATAAAAACTTAAGACTCTTTAAATTAATTTAATAGTTTGAATTTGAATGCATAGTGAAGATATGGAAATAGCAGGAAAAGGAAATTATGAAAAAGTTGAATGTAAAACTACAATTAATAAGCAAGATACAGAAACTTTAGCCAGTAGCTTGGAAATATTTAGTTATTTGGATTATTACAATGGAAATGTTATGAAATGTAGAAGAAAATAATACAAATTAAGTAAATTAACTGAATTAATCTGTATATTACTTTTTTAATTTTAGTTTAAATACAATTTGTTGAGTTCTTTTTTTACTTTAATAATATTACCAAGACCATTGAAAAAAAAATTTGTCACAGAATGGGGTAGTCCATTTATTACTTGTAAATTTTAAGTAAAAGGAGTCATAAAAAGTACATTATGTACCTGATGAGGAGGAAGAGAGTTGACCCATTGTCTACGTGGACTTTTTTAATGGTATTAGTGGTGTATGAATTTGGTCTTATAAGCCTATTTAGTAGTCTTGTGAATAAACTATCAGAAAATATTTGCAGAACTTTTTAAATCATTTTGTCAATGTTGGGTGGTCTATGAACTAATATGGTACCTATTATATGTAATTAAAGGGGGGGATGAGATTTGCTGAAAGTACATTTGTACACAACAGGGAGAGAAAGAGTCAGAGATGGTTCAAAAAAAAACCCTATACATAATTAATAGATGGCTCCAAGCTAAAACTTTAATGCATTAAAATAATTATTTCTCTCAGAAATTGTGTTATAAATAAGTGTAATTAATGGTCAGATTAGCTTTTGATCAATTGAAGAATCATACAACTATAGAGCTATTATTTTCTTTGAAATGTTTCTTTAGATTAAGAAAATTGTTATAAGAAGAATTAAGTAATTAGAAGTAATTTAAAAATTATTATGAAACAAAAAGCAAGTTTTTTAAAATTAAACTAGTCAAGATCTTTGATCTGGAATTCATAATCATCATATGGTAAAAATTGTGGTATTCTTGCATGTAGAGAAAACAATTTCTGCACACATTAATTAACTTATTTATTGATATTTTTAATAACTTTTTCCTGACAAAAAAAAAGTTGTTTTTCCAGTACTTAAGAACAATTAATTGAAATTATTGAAATATTTATAGCACTATAAAACTGTCAGTATAATTATTAATATCTTCAATGATTAGCACAGTCATTAACAAATTTTTTTTTGTTATATGAATTGAACTTTTGAAATTCAATAAGTCATGATTGAAACTTTTTACATAAATTGCTATTTTTTTATATATTTATTGGAATGGATTCATATGGATATGGATGGATAATAGAATATCTCTTGTTATGTGCATATTGGTAATTATCACACAGCCTAACCTTTATAGATTATTAATAATTAATAAGGATAATATAAATATAGGTCTAACATTTTGGTATTTTATCTAACGTAGAAATATAAACTGGAATGTTAGTTTAATGTTTCATTTAGTTTCGTTTTGATGGGCTACGACGACACAACACATGATCTGCCAAGAGGATTTTCTATGAGAAACTGACCTGAATTTAGCTGTTACAAACATGAAGAAAATCAGAAAACCCCATGTAGCCTGCTCATTAGTGAGGAGTGAACCTACAGCTAATTACCAGTATTCACTGGTTTTATCCACTTGTCTACTGGTGGTCAACTTCAGTGTAAGAAACATATTTAAAGCTAGATTGTTGATTTAGATTGAACAAGTACGAACAGAAAAACCTAATACATTGCTACCCAACAGTTTATGTGGAATGCACAGTGAAGTTCCTTTAGGAGTTTGGACTGTCTGGAAAAAAAAAAAAATACTATGAAGTCTTAAGGAAAAGATGGCAGACATTATTTGATCTCAAAAAGATAAACCCAGATGAACAAGTCTTATGAGGAGAGCTACAGAAGTGACAAAAAAAGATGACTGAGGCAAATGTAATTTGACATAAATGTTTGCAAAAGTGGTCAAAATTAGTCACAATGTCAATTGAAAAGTGAATATCATTCCTACAAATGCACAAAAATCTTAATTTTCACAGAAAACAAACTAGAAAAATGCCTAGCTCTGTATTAAAGAAGACATTTTTCTACAGTGGGCAAGATGACTGGATTATCTTCAGTACATTTGTACTGAATTGTATAAATTTAAAAAAAAAAAAAAACATTTAAAAGAATACCAAGAGCTGGTTTGGGATTACCTAAACAATTTAAGTATCTTGCTTGGGAAATAAATTCTTCACTTGAATTGCTACTAGGCAAATAAGATCAGAAAGCATTTATCAAAGTTAAATTGAAATAATATGCTGGCAGAGTTCATCAAAAAGATGTCATTTTCAACATCTCTCACCAAAGACAAATGTCTTATATAACAGGTTCTAGAAAAAAAATCCACACAAAATATCTCAAGCTCTAGCTTTACAACCAATATTTTTAATTATATTGCACATGCTATTATTTGAAATGCTAGATTGTAGAACATTCTAGAATCTTTTCTGTATTGAATTTTCTGCTTCTTTCAAAATTGCAATGAAAGAAGATGCTTTATGCCTAAGAGTATATACCTTTTACACATTAAATAAAACATTAGGAAAATGTTTAAACGTTTTGCAAATGAACTATATATTACATTCTCCAATATTTTAAGAGTGGATTACCATCACAGAGAAGAAAGGAGTCTGGTAGAAAAGTAAAAATTCTAACAAAAGCCAAATTGAAAGGATTGGAGAGAACATTTGAAGACAGTGACAAGATTTTAATTCAATCTGTAACCCTGAAACTGAAAATTTTATGTAGTTGCCTCCATGAGACTTTTGAATATTTAATGTGTGTTTTTGTTTTCAAAGGAGGAGAGAATTCTAGGCAAAGATGAAGTGTGGATGGTTATTGTTCTCTGAAAAGTTCTTCATTTTGGATGATTAATCTTATTTCATCATCTTATACTCAATGGTCAATGGTAATGGAGAATTTTACACCAGTAATATCTCCTCTATTCCTACTAGTGTAATGTTTTCCAAGAAAAAGAAATTTGAGTTTTAGTTTGGATTGCAGTGGGACTGAATGGATTGAATCAAGCCCTTCTATCAATGCTCAATGATATTTAAATGAATATATATAATGCTGTCTGATTTCATACATTTGAAAGAACTATTCTCAAGCAGAATATATTTTCTGGGTAGATCAAGGAAGTTTCCAGTACACCAAAACCATACTGGATTATCTGAAACAAGAAAGCATCATCTTTATCAAAAAAGAGGACAACCTTCAAATATGAAAGATGCAAATCAAAGATTTTTGGGCATTTCTTGAAACAGTGATTTACAAAAAGAGATGGAAGACAAAAGAACACAAATTGGTTTATCAATCACATATGTAATGTCTGAAAAATGTGAATTAAAAGTCTTGTACGGAAACTAAGATTTAACATCCAAAGTTGAATCAACTGCATTCAATGTAGAATTCCAAAATAAAAGATAATGTACAACTTTTCATCAGCTTTCAAATGACTATTAAGTTCATAGTTTTCTTTTTACCAAGGTAAAAACTACATTACACAAATTTGTGCAGTTTTTTCATACATCCATTAACTTGGTCTAAAGCATAATTATTTTTAACATTAGACCTACGTGTGATATGACCATGCTATGATGTCAGTCAGGTGATGACTCTCATATGGACGATGGATGGATGCTGTTCTTCTAGATAGAATGAGTGGGAGGGTCAGTGAGGTCAGCAATACCTGAGTTACTGTACTACAACCTGACATACCTGAGTTACTGTACTGTAATATAAACAATAAAACAGATTACAGACACAACATAACATTAATATGATCCATTTACCAGAGACAAAACGAATAGTTCTCACATNTCCAGATCTTCAATGTACTGTTCAATCATTTTTAATATTGTGAGATATTTTCTGTTGGGATGCAAATCCAACAGAGAATAATTTTGTTTTTGTGGTTTTTCTTGATTTTTCAGCCAAAAGGTGTTTGAAGTACATGGCTAGTGAGATGTGTTGTGTAGGTCTAGAACAAGGGTCGTTGACCCCCTACAAGTTTTCAAAACCTCACATCGACCCCCACCAAAAAGTTTGTGTTACAAACAAAACAAAGTACTTACTATTTTAATACGTTTCTTTTAATTTTGCATTTTTTTTCATTTATTGTATATTTGTTAATAATAATTTTCGTAACTGACAATCAGTGAGACGGATAAGCTTGATGCTTAGCCCCCCCTTATTCTTAGCTTAAGCTTGATAATCGACCCCCCCAAAAATGTTTCATCAATCACTTTGGCAACCTCTGGTCTAGAGGAAGAATGACTCATCTAAACTATACATATTAAAATAAACAACTAATTTTCAAATATTTCTGATTACAGGAAACATTAATAAACAATAAATGTTTGTGGTAATTAGAGTGTCAGTCTTGCAGGAGAAATACTTCAGTGACATTATCTAGATCTCTGTTTCTCAATTTTCTTAAACATGAATGTACAGTCGACCTCACCATAACACTGTTGATAATTCTGTTTTATATGAATTCCATGTTGTACGAGTCACTTAGATTTTACAAATACGTGAGTTGTTCACAGCCCGGCACACATATTTGTAAGATCTAAGTGACTCGTACAACATGGAATTCATATAAAACTGAATAATCAACAGTGTTATGGGGGGGGTCGATTGTAATTCATAGTGTCCATTTTACTGATTTTCTCTGGAAGCCTATGCAAACTAAGAACACAGTTGTAACTTCCCATGTGAAGTGGCTGATCTGAGTTCATGTCAAATCTTTTCTTCACTGAACCGCGTTTTTGATTTGCTGATTTGGTGATCCATGTTCTTTTGTCAGCATAAAAATGGACTTTTTACACCTTTAAAACAGCAAGGATGCAGGTTTTTGCCTTCCACAACAAATTTACAAGTGCCTGCTGCATTAGCACATTCCAGCACAATCAATTCCTGTAGGAGCTCTCTAATCAGCTGTAGCAAATGTTTTTCTGAAACAATAAGGCCAGAACAGCAATGCCTCATCAACATTATGGATTTGTTCTGCTGTTAGATTTTCATCAGTGATGATCTGGACAAACTCATTGATGAATTTCTCTGCTGCTTCCTACTCAGCAGATGCTTTGTTACCCAAAGCTTTAAAAATTTAATGACATGCCTTTTTAAAATTTTTGTAATCAGCCTGCTGAATGTTTATAGTTATTTCGATATTCAATTTATAATGATAGATTTTTGCTTGTATTACGATCAACATTCCGTCAAGTGGCACATGTTTACTCCAAAACTGACAAATCCACTCCATCAATACATGAACAAGATCATCATTTTTTGCTCAATGCAATCTTCTTCTATTTTTCATTAACTTACATTCACCACTTTCTTCATAGAACCTCAACGGTTTGTCCTTCTGTTTCTTCAGGTTATATAGTGGTTGTTCCAACACCAAACTCTTGTTATACACTTCACACTTACATTGCTGTCAAGTTTTTGCAGTGACTTGACTTGACTTTCTGACTGTTATAGATAAACTTAAATGCTTAATTTTTTTCTTTTTACCATTATTCACAAGGTTATTTGCAGGCCTCTGACATTTTCAACAATATCTTTATAGAGCACAAAGTATTTGGTAATTAATGCACACAAACACAGCACAGAAATGTTGCTATGAGTGCTGTTGACAAAAACTTGCACCAAATTAACTGGGCTGGGTAAACACATCCACCCAGGTTAGGTGTGTTTAAGTAGTATGTGGCACAACTGCTGCACTTCACCTGGGAACATTTCTGGTGATGTCACTCAAAGAACTTTTGTGTTTTGGAATTTCAGATAAAAGATTCTCAACTTGTATTGTAAATCATAATAGTCAAATATCAGATACATTAATATAAATTTGAAGAAAAAAAAAAATTTTTTTATCTTGCTCTTCATTACTTCTAATTTGAAAATTTATTCAGCTAGTTGGAATGTTCTTGATCCAATTATTCAACATCAACCTGTGCCAACTCCATATCAGAATCCAGAAACATATGGACCATTACCTGATGCTCGT